TTTCAGCCAAATCCGTAATCTTATATATAAAGCTGAATGTATATTTGTATGTATGTACCAGTGGCGGTCGCAGGATTTCGGACCGGGGGGGCGAAAAAATTTTTTTCCAAATGAAGGTGCGTGGCGTCAGCCACGCACTCCGAAAAAATTTTGGGGGTACTTCTCAAAGTTTTTGCGGGCCCCCAACCCCTAAAATCTGGAAAAAGGAGAAAAAAAATTTTTTATAAGGCCAATTTGAATTTTTAAAAAATTTGAAAAATTATTTTAATTATTTATAAAAATAAGCAAGCCGTTTGCACACTTTTATAACCCACATAGGTAAGTTTCAAAAATTTCGCGACCCATTCTCGGGGGGGGGGCGCCCTCTCCCCCCCCCGCCCCCTCCCCTGCCCCTCGGACCGCCACTGATATGTACGAATGTGCGGAATAGAAATTTTTATTGAACAGATTTGGACCAAACTTGGCACACATACACTTCGGGGCGGTTAGCGTGTCATAGGCTACTTTTCGTCATCGCTCGATATCGATTCTTTGCAGAGTTCACCTACAGGACTGGGAGTTGGCACAGGGGGGGGGGGGGGAGTAAGCATGGCGATTCCGAATACAACATTAGTTTCTGGAATTATCCATTACTTATTGATTTTATCGATTTTTTGCAAAGTTTGCTAGTGATTTATAATTTTTCCCTTCATACCATATACCTACCGTAATCTCCACTGCGACGTCAGAATTTGGCGAAACAGCAGCTATGCCTGCAGCTCTCGCCATAGCCTACACATTGGCGAAATTTGAGCGCTTTATATAAAATGAGAGCAAGATTAATTAGTGAGTTGCAAAACTTGGTTTCCAACCCATTACTTTGTTTCAAAGGTAAGTTAACTACTTCTTTTTGCGCTCAATACAAAGAATACTGATTTTTTTGCTCACATTAGGAATCCTACTTCAAATAACCTCCAAATTTAAGGAATCAAGAGCAAACTAAATCTCATTTGTTCCATTTTTCGTTTTCAGTATCTCAGGCTAGAGACGAATATATACATTCTTGTCGCCTTCCCTTGCGAATCACGTAGTAGCGCAGACTTAGCATGTTACCGTATCCCATATCGTTTTCATATGAAATTTTTGCTATGTAAAGAAGTTAAGCAGTAAGAACGATATAAAAAACGCAACTTTATCTGTTTGAAGGTAAGTTAATGGGGAGTGGCACCATCCCTAAAAAACTGTAGCAGCCACAACTTTTTAGGGGTGATGCCACAACCCCTTTAACTATATCAAAAAACGTTTTTAGCGAACGTTATTTATATTAATCGATAGCTAGACCTCGTAGATTTCATAGGAGTGATTTGAGCCTAATTCGTCTTCTTAGCAGCTCTGAGTAATAATTGGTGAAAGCACAGCCATTAAAAGCGGAAAATAGGAAAAACAAGATTTTGGTTGGCTTCTAATTCCAAAGTTAGGAGGTGTTTTGAAGCGAGATTTCTGAAATGGACAAAGAAGGCGTAGTGCTTTGTCTTGAGTGCAAAAACAGCTAGCTCTTCCCCTATGAAACAAAGTTAATCGTGCTAAAAAATGGCGATTTCATTTAGGTGACTCAGTATCTTGAAACTTCAAAATTCGCTCAAGCATTGTCTACAGGGGTTGACTGACATGCTAATTATGGATATGTTGCCCGTTGTGTTTAACAGAGCCTTCAAGTAATGCTATCTTAGGTATATAGTTCAGGGGGTTTTTATTGAGACAGCAGTAAGAGGGCGGGGGGGGGGGGGGGAGGAGGATCGTAACCAGCGACCGTGTGCCACACCTCTTGCTTGATCCTGAAGATGAGATTAACACTTTTTAGATATTTTATCTGCTTGGTGTTAGCACCTTCTCAGATAATCGCTGGGAGCAGGCGGTCCGCAAATTCGCGCTTTTCTGCCAGCGGACAGCAAAATTTTGGGAAGTGGCCAAACCTTCAGCGATTTCCTGCAAGCGCATATCAATAATCTCTTTCAGCGAGTGCTGGCCAAACTTTAAACAGGCGCTGGGACTCTTTACGAGGTTTCGAGCATACGCCGAGCAAAGGTGAGGCTCTGTGTGACAGTGGTGTCATCTTTGGTTTGATTACCCGAGTTTAGGGTACTTTCTCTCGGCGAAAGACATCTACGGGCTTCGCAGTTTTCCACAAAGGACCGTGTGCTTCTCAAAATTTTGCGTATTCTCGCGGAAAACCGCGAGAATGCGGCCGCTGCGCCGCAAGTGATTATAGAAAGCCGTGGTTTCTCGAGCAATCGTCTAAAAATTGGCCAACATTCTTCCAAATTTCTATAAGCGGAACTCAAGAAATCAGCAAACTATTTTTCCGGTGCCCGCTTACATAAATCGCATGGCCGCCTGCCCCCGACGAATATCTGACAAGGAATGCTTGTTTAGTCGAAGTGACCTTTTTAGATGGGATGTATACCATATTAAAGAGCATAAAATGCTGATTTTAAAATTGCCCTCCTTGTCTGCAGAACGTTTTTGGACGAGGAGTTATGAGCTCTTATTGAGGCAAAAAATTGAATGTGCAGGCAGCACAAAAATAGCCGTAATACTTTTTCTAGCTCTTTAATGGAGCAGTGATAATCATCAGAGAACTTTATTTAAAAAATACTCTCAATTAAAGAATATATCACACTTGGTTGCATTATTTGAGGGGTAGTAAGATTTTAGCAACTCAATTTATCCCAAATGCGCATTTTTGGCTCCACAAAACGTTCATAACTCCTTGTCCATAAGCGTTCTGCAGATAACGAAGGCAGATTTGGAGTCAGCGTTTTATGCCCTTTAATATGGTATATATCTCATTTGGAAAGGTCACTTCGACTAAACAAGCTTCCCCTGTGAGTTGTTTATCTCAAAATTAGTTCCAAAAAACAGAACTTTGCAAAGAAACGTGGCGATTGTTTGAGACTAATGTCCGTTGATATTTATTGTGCCCTATCATGACTTATAATAACGGGCTAAGGATGTTTACGTGACTTTGTGTGTGTGTGTGTTACGAAATTCGTGGAGCGCGTTCCAGCAAACGTCCTGAGCCCAAATTTTGCACAGCACATGCTACCAGCACAAAACTCCATCATGCAAAAGCATGAGCGGATTCGTTGAGTGGAACTTACAGAAATTGCGCGTCAAACGGGTCCACTTCGCTTCTGACCCACAAAATTAGGTCCCTATCAGCACTTTTTGCGAAGTCGTTGAGGTGTTTCACGTAAATGTGCAAGCCTTGGACTCTAGCCCAAATAATGGGCAAAAACCTACTACTTTGCGAAAATGACTCCAAGGATTGGTTGCGTAAATGGTTAATTTGAAAACGTTCTACTGGCGCATTTGAGAAGATTTTTGCGCAGACGTGTTGCTCACGGGGCTATTGACCTTATGGCAACTACCAAACCATAAAAAATCCAGGAACCCACTCAAATTTGCATTTGTTCTTCGGCGAAAAGTTCCATCCTCGCGAAATCACCGATCTCACATGAAAAAGCAGTTAAAATTAGTGGTTGTTTACATCCTACTCGTGGTAGTCGGCCACTGCGCGGTGAGTTTCAATGTTATCATCATTATGGGAAAGTAATGAGGCATATGGATAGTAGAGCCAGTGCGAGCCTCTGCGAAGCAGAGGTGACGCACTCGTCAATATATATGCGCCTATTAACACATTCACGACAGAGCCAATTTTTCGATTACTGCAGCTGTGTCGCTGGGGATTATCAGGGGATCATACAAAAAGCTATAATACGCGGCATATCTTCTCGCTCCCGATTAATATGTTCATAGCGAAGGATGGCGGGAATACTCACGAATAGGTAGACAGTGTGAAATCCAGATATCTAAAGCTTCAAGATATGAAACTTTCATTTGAGCTGCGATCCCCTCCCATCGGGTATGTTAAGGCATGCAGCTTCTTTCCGTATCTCATCTTTGTCACGGTCTAAGCTGACCCCAAGTCACGGCTAATTACAACAGAAATTTTTAAGATCGCTTAACTGCGCAAAAGTGTAGAAGAGAATAAGCCATAGGCCCCGGTCAGACTTCACGCGACTTAATCGTCGCGATCTAATCGTCAAGATTTCAATTCATTTTCATTTCACATTCAAAAATTTCTTGCTGGAAAAGTATCACAACCGAATGCAAGTTGATCGGCATGGAATGATGTTGTAACAGTTGTCTCGTCGCGATTCAGTCGCGACGATGAAATCGCGTGAAGTCTGCCCGGGGCCATAAGCAGCCAAACGAGATTGATTTCAATTGTACATACAGGGTGTCCGTAAAGTATGTATGCACTGTTTGATCGTTAATATCTCCGTTCCCAGGGGTCTTTTGCCGAGCTTCAAGCATCATACTGTAGAGCTGGCTTCAACTTAGATTTACAGTATAGAGCGAATCAGCATTACTCACTGTTACTGTAGGATTACGGTAGAAACTTGAAACGTATGGTGTCAATGCGGAAAAAGCTGTCGTTTCAAAATTTTTCAAAAAAATGTGAAAACTTGTGTAATAGGGTTTTTATGGACGCTGAGTTCAATACTCAACTATTCACAAGATTGCGAAGCTTTCTAAATGGTGTAAACGCACTTTTTAGGAACACTGAAAAAATGGCCGCTACCTCTTACCTGGCATAACTCTTCAATGAAGCATCATAATAAGTTGGGAACTTCACAATTAGAATCAGCAACTCTAATTAGCCTAGTGTAAAAGTTTTCAGGCTGTTTTGTTTCCTTTCTGAGGCAAAATATGGCCTTTCATGGCTCAAAACCCTCTTTGAAGTTCCTACCGTAATCCTACAGTAATGAGAGGAGACCGGCAATTCGCTCCATACTGTAAATCAAAGTTGAAGCCAGCTCTATATGGTGCTTAAAGCTCGGCAAAAGACCCCCTGGGAACGGAGATATTAACGATCAAACAGTGCATACATACTTTACGAACACCCTGTATAATTGGTGCTCACTATTCAACAGTGTGTACAAATTTCTTTCCAGCTTGGACCCATGTGGATGAGATCTACTGTTGGACGGTCAGAGTTATTTATGTTGAAGCCAGACCAGAGCTGCAAAAGGGACAAGCTTTTCTCAAGAAATAGAAAGCAGTGGAGCTACGTCGATTCTACAAAGAAAGCCTATGTGAGTATGAGCAGAGAGTTTCATTTACCCGTACTGCCTATCAAATTTGGATTTGATCTTTTTTGATGCACGCTAAAAAGCATGTTAGGCTGCCTACACACCTATTAGCCCGCTCATTCGCATGTAGCTTTCATCTGAGAGCCATGATGCCTTCATAACATAGCGTTGTTTACATTTAGATATCAATCAACGGGTTTTTGGAAAATTTTTCCGGTTTTTTGATCATTCACAATAAAACGAAACCAACAAGGATTTGAGCATCACGTTGCATCCTTTCTTGCTACTGCTTGCGCTTGTAGTCTAAGTTGTTCATATTAGATTTGCCAGCTTCACCATTCATTACTTCACACTACAGCCCGAACATGGATTTGGAAGACTTAAGTTTCGTTGACTAACATTTCACGGAAGGTCGATGAATGGTTATCAAAGACTTGAAGGTTGATTTAAAATTCTAAGTGGCCGAAATAAGTCAAAAGGCCGTGAAATTGTGTGTGCTTTGTGTAATTGCTACTTTAGCTTCTTCACAGATGTGAAGCTAAATTAGCTTAAAAATTTACTAATGAAAATTCGAAAGCAGTTGCAAAATTTACCAAGAAACTATGATGATGGTATCGCTATGGCTTCAAAGTCAGGAAGAGTATATAGTTGTTAGAAAGCTACCGTAGCATACCTCCTACGTATTTCTCACGTAGTGTTTTAAAATAACACAAAATTTATTGTATCCGACCGCACGACCACCAACCAACTACACAGCTTATGATCTCTGGCAATGATCTGACGAGAGAATAGTCAGAAATCGAAGTGGCCAATCTAAGCAAGCTTCATATTATTAAATACAGCATAAAACGCTGACTTCAAACCTTTTTTCCTTGTCTGCTGAATAGCTTTGTGGATGAAGTTATTAGCCATGATGGCCATTATTTTGCGAAGAAATTGTGTGTAAAGGGCAAATTTGGCCGTACAGAGCCACGTTCGGCTTAATGCTAAACTAAGACATTTAGCAAGATTACTTCAAATGGCCCATACCTAAAGGTGAGCTAAAAGTGCCACTTTTTCTCAGTAAAACTGCTCATAATTTTGCCCACAAAGGAGTTCTGCAGATAAAAAAGACAATCAGCGTTTTATGCTGCACCATGCCCTTGTGAGAATGGCAGCTACGCATGAGGTAAGAGTAGAAGGTAGTTTTTGAATTTGGTCGTCCATCGGAAAAAAATATCGATTCTCCCAGCGTATTTTTTAGAAGTTTTTACACTATCTGCATGCACGAAAAAATTGATGAATGTTCATCAACGGATTAGCTTGGACATGACGTTTTGGGAAAAAAGGCATAAGAACTGTATGACAACCCTTCGTCAAGTTTCTATCGAGGAAAGTTTCCCAAAGTGTCCCTGGTAAACCTGATACGTTGTATAAAAAACAAATCACATCTCTGCCTTGAATACTCGAAGTGATGCCTTTCAGAATATGTTGCAATAAAATTCTGATTAAACCATGATCTGAGGTAACATATCTTTTCCGCTAGCAAGATTGCCGGAGGACACAGTATTTGAGGGAGAGAAACTGACTCAATTATTAGTGTAAACTGCAGGTAGTACACCTTATCAACCTTCGGCCAGTCTTTTTCAAACTTTTTGTATTTGGGCGAAACGAGAACTGATACGACAATTATTCGAGATTTTCTTGCGCCGCCAGATTGGCAACATAATTTGAAACAATTAGCAACACTTATTTTTTCTAGAATCTGTAAGGAAGCCAATGTGCTATGGGCGAAATCAAATTTGTGCAAACTCCTTCCATGCAAAAAGTACCGAACAAAGTGAATGATATGCAGAACTTTTTTGGCGAGCTAATGAATATACTAAGCGTAAAAGCTTCACGCTTTCTAAGCTCTAGCTTTGATGTTTTATGCTCAACCTCGGTAGAACAAGCATCTATGACTTAGCAATGACGGGCTAAGGGTTATTTACGTCTGTTTGGTGTGTGTCTTTCTGTTGGTATGTCTTCCATGAAAATCATAGAGTGAGTTCCAGCAAAAGTCCTGAGCTAGAATCTTGGTCTAGCGCCCTATCAGCATTTAGAAAAACTGTGCAAAAACACAAGCCGATCTGATAATTGGAACTCTCAAAGGTCTCCCCTTCTCTTGGTCGCAAAACTAGATTCGTACAGCCTTTTTTTGCAAATTCATGGTATGTTTGGCAAATGTGCAAGCCAGAAACGTTGGTACAAGAAAGTGGTTGAAAATCTGTTACTTTACTAGAACGGTGCCGTAAAGAGTAAGTTGCTCAAATGCTTGATTTGCCAATCTTTTATATGAACATTTGAGAATATTTTTGTGTGGGTATGTAACTCATAAGTTATTTTCTTTACGGCAACTACTAAGCCTTATAAATTTGAAATTAATTCAGTTTTGCGTTTTTTTTTCTGCGGTAAAGTTCATTCACGCGAAATTACCGAGTTTAAACGAAAAGGGTTTTGAATGAGTAAATGTTTATAATTTAATGAGGATTGCGCGGTGAGTTCCAATGCCATCTTAGGCAAGAATGAGAATTACATACAGATGACAGGAAAAGCGCGAAGCAGAGGTGACGCACTGGTAAGATTATAAGACACTGAAATACAATGTGCAACATGCCAAATTCCATAAACAAGCTCAGGCCATAACCTGCAGTAGAGTAGAGATTTTTGAGATATGCAAGCAGATTCGTTTTCCGCTCTATGAGGCAATTTTTTGGCATGCGTCTTTAATTCTTGAGGATACGCTATGCTTATAGTAAAACTTTATTCTTGTGATGTTTACGTGAGGGCGTAGCTTAGGGCGCAGTGCTAAAAAAACGTTGAATATGACCTTATTTCTATGAACACATGCGTGAAGACGCAAATTTGTGGAGACTTACCTTCGTGCACACCGCAGGTGTTTAGCTTAGAAAAAAGCCATCGCCAAGAACTATTCCCAAAGACTCGCAATAGAATAAGCTATTCACAGAATATGCCGAAGACAAGGTACAAACAACCAGTGAACTTTGACAGAATGCATATGATCTGTTTACCGTGACCCTACGGTAAGCTCTAGCGTACAAAGCAACTACATTTGCAACTGGCGTATCATATAAGTAAGCGGATTTTTCGTATCTGAGCTCATCAGTATTTTCACCGTTCCGAGTGTATTTGCATCCCAACTCTCCACAGTTTTTGGGCAAAACCATAGATGGCTTCGGATCGAAATTATCGCTGTTCTGACTTGTTAATCACTATTCCCAAAGACTCGCGATATCGTAATTTTTTTGAGCATCCACACGAAGCTACTGTGAAAATCCTGTAAATATTAGGTTGTAGCATTGAAAATCCTGTAAATATTAGGTTGTAGCATAAGTCTAGAGACACTCTAACTTCTTACGGATGCAGTTCACATTTTCAATAAGAGTCCAGGGAACTATTCGATAGATCAAAGCAAGCCCTACAAGATGGTCTGCAGAAGTTCGCCACAACTTCAACCCACTTGAAGTTTGCATTTAAAATGTGAGTTGTACTGAAGGCTCAGAAAATCACGCAAAATTCTATCTTCGTTCAAAAAAGCCTATGAATCTTCAACTTGCTCACAAAAATTGCACACTGCATTAAACTTTTATATGTACCGTTTTTGGATTTTTTTCTCATTTAGAAATCGAGAAAACGAAAATTTCCAAGTTTTTACAAAAACAAAGCTAAGCTGTTTTTACTTATGTAATTGCATACTACAATCCCTTAATAGTATAATCATAGATTTGCAGCTTCCTAGGCCTTAGGAAAACTACCGAATTTAGCTTTCTCGTATGCTTCATGCTAAAATCAATATTTCTCGAAAAATAGGGCCTGTGGAAAGCTGAAAATCTACGGTTATACTGTTAAGGGATTGTAGCGTACAGTTACATAAGTGAAAACAGCTTAGCTTCGTTTTGTGAAAACTTAAAACCTTCTTTTTCTCGATTTCTAAATGAAAAAATAATGTAGGAACGGCACTTATGAGTGTCTGATGTAGTGTGCAATTTTTGTGAGCAAGCTGGAGATTCGTACGATTTTTTGAACGAAGATATGAATTTTTCGCGATTTTATGAGCAGGGTCAAGCGTGTTGATGCGATCCGGGACCAGGGCCCGGCACAGATGGTTCGGGGTCAAACTGCACTTCGTTTTCAAGGTTAGAAGCAACGGGGATATCGTTTTTATAAGGTCCTGGGCGAAGCACCGAAAAAAATGACAAACATGTCAGGATTTACGAGCTGAACGTGTTCTTTGGCAAGCGCGCGAATCTCAAACGTACGACTCAAACAAACAGATGGCTTGTTTACAGCGCACAAACAATCACATGACGCCGAATTTGGGCTATGTATACACAACATTACTCCAAACAACATTATGTAAAAAGTTCCGAAAACTTATGTGTCCTTATACCCGTTCTCGAATCTGTTGGTTTCTAAACCAACCACCAAACCAACTGGGTCGGTTCGGAGCATAAATATCGGAGAGTTCACACAAGTTTTGGATGTTTTCGATTTGAACGAAGAGAACGCTCCAAAATCTATCATATAGCGAAGAGAGTGAATCAAACCACTGCTTCTCCTCTTTTTTTTGAGCCAAAAATAGTGGCAAACCAAAGCACTGATGCATATCGCGCTCCAATCAATGCGGTGTCCTTTGAACTATGTGGCGAAGAATGCATCGCCAGATTGTTGAGGTCACAGATTTGGTTGGCCTGAGAGGTTTTCAACGTTCTGAACACTAGAACATTGTACCATACTCATGAATTGATCGACCCAGAATATTTTTTTGCTTTTTCGTTGTATTAGGTACGTCAAAACTCGCTTTTTTCGCTTTTTATCGTTCTGTTTCACCTTGATTGAACAAGGGTTTCTCTACTGACTTTTGGGTCATAAAGGACTTCGCGAATTCATAGGGGACTTCGTTTCCGAAAAAGCTCCAAACCAACGCGTGCCAGGCCCTGTCCGGGACCCCCATTTACGACCCC